ATAATATCTAAACAAGTAAAAATGTCTTTCCAAGAAGGCCTAGAAGCTAAAGACTCCGTATACACGAAAACTCAAATACCTACAAAACAAAGTAATTAATATTTTAATTGACTTACAAAAAAAAATATAAAAGAAAATTGTGGAGAAGAATTAAATATCGATAATCTATTTAAATACGGATACACTATAGACCTGATCAGAAGAGAGAATAGAATTAAGAATTGGTTAACAAGATACAAAGATAGTAGGCTTAAAGCTTTCCAAGCTTTAAATTACTATATAATAGCTCTAAAACATACAGTATACGATATCACTAGAACTACACCAATTATACATAATAACACAGTAGAATTAAAATATAATGATAAATTGGATAACGAATATCATTAATGACCCACCAAATAAGTGATAGAGAAACATATTTAATTTATCTACAAAGAGAATACGAATGTCTTAAATTTTTAACATACTATCCTGATACTGAAAGACAGATTAGAAGGTTGGAAGAAATAATACCAATACAGGAAAGAATAACATTAAGAGATATTGTATTACGAAAAGAAACAAGAAGACCTAAATGGCGAAGATAATGAAAATATCACAAGTAGTAATATTCGATAAAGATTCAGCAATACTATTAGCACAAAGAATACATCCAAAGAAAGTATACTACTAACATTACGGACCACCAGGAAGAAAACAAGCTATATACCTTGAATCATTTAAACAAATAGCTATAAGAGAAACATTTGAAGAAACAGGAATACAAATACCTGCAATAAGTTAACAGAAGTAATACACAGTTACTACAGAAAAGAATATTGAAATAAAGACATTTATCTATAAAAACGGGATACAATATCCACAAACCCTTGAACCAGAAAATCACACAATTTGGAAGTTCTATACTAAACAAGAAACAGAACAATTACTAATTACACCAGAACTAAAGAAATACCTAGAAGAAATATTTAAACAAATAGAAGCAACTAATGGATCTAAAAAAGGATCTTAAATATCTAGTATACTTAAGAAGTGAATACAAATTCAGTA